GAGTGGGTGGCAGGAGGGAGATAGGAGCTCCTCCCCACCACACCCTCTTCCCCCACCGTGCACACGCATGCTCCCCTCACTGTCCGGCACCTCCTTTATGTTCTCTCTCCTCTCCATCCGGTGGCCCCCCCCCCCCCGAAGATTGTCTAGCTACAGGGCTAATAGCGTCATTCTCTAAGCATCCGGAGAACCGCTGTGACTGGCACAACTGATCTGGCCTCCTAAGCCAAACTCCTCCTTTACTGAGGGAAGCCTGTTCTTTGAAGAGAGAATGACATCGTAGTGACATCATAACACTGTAGAAGGCTTAAGATTATGCCAAGTTCCTCAAGGAATGGAATGGGAGCCGTAGTTCAGTAGTCTTCTCATTAACCAGGGCTGCTATTCAGATGTACGGGAAGTCTCAGGGTGATTTCAAAGGGAAAGTTTAAAACTTTTGGTATATTTTCAGGAACAAAGACTAGCCTCATCTGGAACCTTAATCTTTCCCTTTTGCAAAACTGATACCCAATCTTTCTATTGCAATTCCACTGCCGACTATCCAGCACATTTGTCAGAGTGCCAGATGTTCCAGATCCCTGTTCTTGTTAAAGGAAAGGGTTGTAGGTTTTCCTCCACAGACCTCCAAGATGCAAGGGAAATAACACTATAACGCCTTTTGCTAGCAATCCAGGTAAAAAGGGTGTCTACTAAAATGTGGAGTCCAGCAGGGCCATCTATGCAGGAGCTGAAACTAGTTTACCCTTCGCCCTGAACCTTCGCTTTCCTGCTTCCAGTGCTGTCTGTGGAGAGCCCAGGGGGTCCCTTCTCTGTTGTTAAACTTTTGTTTTGTTTTACATTTAAGATGGACGGATCACCTAAGTGTAACATGAAAATACTTTTCTGCTGATTCTCAATGGGGTTTGAAGGTAGCATGAGATCAGTTGGTCACCACGGCAGTGTCAGGGAAACTTGCAAAAATAGGTCTACTTGTCCTTGCAGCATTTGGCCTGCTGGGTTGTGAAATATTTTGACTTACAGTAACAAAATTCACACTGCCTGTGCATGTGTTCCATGAGTGTGCGCAATGGTGTTTTCTTTGAGGGCGAGGCCAGTGCTGCATGCTCCTCGGATTGGGGAGGGGGGAGAGTGGCACATCTGTCACGTTTCCCAACAGCTCCTCTTAGGCCACAGGGTGGCATGGTTGATCCCGAGGGTCACAGGGACCTAAAGAGCAGGCGCAGCGAGAGGTGCGCAGGTGGGGCTCGGCCGGGGCCTGGGTGTTGAGTGTTGTCCCTGCTTGGTGCTCCACACAGGCTTGCCGGGACTTCCTGATGCTGGCCCAGACACACAGCAAGAAGTGGCAGAAATCTCTCCAGTATGAGCGTGACCAGCGCATCCGTTTGGAGGAGACGTTGGAGCAGTTGGCTAAGCAGCACAACCACCTGGAAAGAGCCTTCCGTGGGGCCACGGTACTACCAGCCAGTGCCCCGGGCAGCATGGATGCCAGTAAAGGTAGGGTTCTGCCGAGGGCCTTGAGCCATGTTCCCTCGGGGATAGTCACCTCTCTTGGTGAACTTTCTTTCTTTTGGTTTTTCCTACCCTCCCCCCTCCAAACCCTCCTGCTGAGAGATCCCAGAGTGTCCTAAGTAATCAAAACCAGGGAAGGCAATGTCAACCTGTTACTCTTACAGATCGATGTTACCCATCTAAGGGGGATCTGAGTGATGAAGATGATGACAATGAATTCTTTGACGCTCCTGAGAATATTGCAATGCCTGAAAACATGGGCCACAAGTGAGTGATTCCCCAAACTCCCTGAGAACCCTGCAGCCCTGGCTGTTGGCACTTAGAATACTTCGTCCCTGTGTCATAGGCTAGAGACTGAGAATTGACAGGTTCCAATGACTGGTCTAAGGACTGTAGAAATAAATTGAACTTGACAGGATCCAGGCAAAATCTCAACTGAACAGGTTGCCTGTCACACCCTCCTTCCCAATCGTGTGCATCTGTCAACTGGGAAGGAAGTTGTTCTGGCCTCCAGAGGGGAGGAAAAGATGAGCGAATGTGCAGCAGCAGCAGAAGAGGTGGAAGCATGATGGAGGGATTTGACTGTATGAAGCGGCTTCTCATGGAGTCACTTTATTGGTCCATCTAGCCAAGTATGGTTTCTGGCGGGCAGTTCACCTCTAGAATCTCAGGCAGAAGTCTTTCTCAGTGCTAGGGGCTAGCTCCTGATTTTCATAGGCTGTGGACAAGAAAGCGGCAAGTGAGCTGCCCTTCCCTCCCATTAGGTTGGCTGAGGCTTTGCTTGGTGGACGTTGATTTTCTTGATCCCCTTTTGCCTATTGAGCATAGTGCCGGATCCCATGGACATGCCTGCCCGGCACTGGCTTGCTGCCCAGGGACTGGATCTGTAGATGGCAAAGTGAGCGTGGAGCCTTCTGTGTGTGCTTTCCCACTGTGCTTATTAAAGCCCTTCTGCTCTCTTCTCATCTTGTCTCCGTCTTTCTCTCATGCAGCACACCACCATTTCTATGCCACCCTTCCCAGTCTGGAATGAGTGGAGAAGGAAGTTCTCACACACCCTTTCTCCATCAGGAACAGGAGCGACAAACATATTTGGCTGTTGCTAGGCAACAGTCTCACACTTAGAAATGACAGGCTATCCAGATGGAAGAGGGAGGGTATGTGTGGGACACTGCTGGCAAGGACCTCACTGGCTTTGGTGGTCTTATCTCTTTAGCAGGTGAAAATGGTAGAGAGAGTGAAAAAAGTAATTGGGGAGCCACGGCAAACCCCCTGAGTCTTTAAGTCACTCTTAGGCAAAACTGGCGGCCAGTCAGGCCTTAGCTGGGTGGGGATGGGGTGGGAGAGGGAGGGGCCATAGCATTGTTTGTTTTTGGAACCCTTTCTTGCTGAGTACAGTTATCTTTGTTGGAGAGGCTGGTTTCGCTTTCCAGAGTGTCTCATGCTGTGTCTCTAATTCTTTTAGACGAACTGGCAGCAACATTAGTGGTGCTAGCAGTGACATCAGTCTCGACGAGCAGGTAGTCCCCATCTTTGATTTGAGGGGTGGGAAGGAACCACTGGATTTTTCTTTAGATGATACTGAGATACCCTAGAGAATGAGGAAATTGAAACAGGAGTGTCTTTTGAAGCTTCTGGAGTGACATCAGTGTTTTAGTGGCTTGAAGTACAACTCCCTTGCCTCTTAAAATAGACTGTGTCTTCATGGAGGGTGGGATATTAAGGACAGTATGAGTGAGTTTGGGAAAACTAGGAGCCATTCTTGATGAGAGTGGGCAATTCTTACTCTGTCTCCTGATGTCCTGTCCGAACATGCCCAGAGGAATACCCTAAAACAAGGCTTACCGAAAAGGGGAGGGGGTGTTATCTCTAGGAGATGGTAGGCATACTGGAGACACGTGGTCATCTACCACATAAACATTTTTATTTGCTTTGCACAGAAAGTGACTCTTCAGGTTGACCAGAAGAACAGATATGAATCCCAAAAGGACTGGCTTTATTTATGTAATTTGTTGCCCATGGGGGGCGGGGGTTGTAAGCATTACTGCACGAAGAATGAATGATTCTGTGCACCACTTACTGCCTTATAGGTGAGGGTGCTGTAGAGGAGAAGAGCAGTTACATCTTGGGCAAGTAAAGGAGAAACCAGGAGACAGCAGGATTCAGTTATGAGCTGCACACACACCCTGGCTTGACTGGTCTTTTATTTATTTTCAAGTATAAACACCAGCTGGAGGACACCAAGAAGGAGAAGAGAACCCGAATTCCCTACAAACCAAATTATAGTCTCAACTTGTGGAGCATCATGAAGAACTGCATTGGCAAGGAACTCTCCAAGATCCCCATGCCAGTGAGTCCCCTCATTATAGTGTCAGTGGCAAGTTCTGGGGCTCTCTTTTATCCCCAAGAAGAGGAAGGTCAAGCTAATCCATGCTGCAGTAAGCTCTGTGGTGTGAGAGCTGACGTAAACCCCCACAGCATGTCTAGTCCCCATGTCAACATGATTTGTCCTGGAAAGATCTTCTGGCCTTAACTTGCTGCTTCTGCCCCCAGGTTAACTTCAATGAGCCCTTATCCATGCTGCAGCGCCTCACAGAGGACCTGGAATATCATGAGCTGTTGGACCGGGCAGCCACGTGTGAGAGCTCCCTGGAGCAACTCTGTTATGTGGCTGCTTTTACTGTATCATCTTACTCCACCACTGTCTTCCGCACGAGCAAGCCATTCAACCCCCTCTTAGGAGAGACCTTTGAGCTAGACCGGCTGGAAGAAAATGGCTACCGCTCTCTCTGTGAGCAGGTAAAGAGCAGCGTGCCTTCTTTTGAACCTGAACGGGGATTTTTGGATCCAGGGTAGCTCTCTTGATGTTTCAGTTTTAAGTAGCTGTAAGATTCATTGATTTGGGTAGAACGTTCTCCCAAGCTGAGCCTGCTTAGGGTCCCAGCTTACACCTATTTGGGATCTCTACATATCCCTGGGGGCTTTATGGCTGGAACTGGGCATCTGCTCCTTTCTCCAGCTGCCATCTGTCCTGTCTTCCAGGTGAGCCACCACCCCCCAGCGGCTGCTCATCATGCTGAATCCAAGCATGGCTGGACCCTTCGGCAGGAAATCAAAATCACCAGCAAGTTCCGTGGCAAATATCTCTCTATCATGCCACTTGGTGAGTCTTTGCCTCTGGATGCTATTGTCAGGACATTCCAGGAGGGCCTGGTGGCTGAGTTCAACCAGATATCCCCATCTTAGACCAGATCCTGGTGGTCTGTTCCTAGCCATCTGGGAAGATAGTGAGCTCTCTAGTCTGTCTGTCTATCACCAGATGTCTTTCCTTTATGTATGTGGCATAATTGGTGTATATTGTGCATTCATCCTTTCAGCACCTTTTTCTGGAATGTATGTCTTCTTCAGAGTTCTCACAAGCATAAAAGGGGTGCTTCTCTAAAAGCAAAATAATGGGCAGATCAGTTAATTCATTAGCTGAGCCTGGATTTGAATGCAAGTCTTCCAATACTAAGTCAAACATTCCTGTCTCAATGGATTTTGGGTACTTTACACCACAACCTAGCAAAGGCCCTCTTCATCAGCAGAGCGCCGTCCTGATCACTGATTTCCTATTTCTAGGTACCATCCACTGTATCTTCCATGCAACTGGCAATCACTACACATGGAAAAAGGTCACCACCACAGTACACAACATCATAGTGGGCAAATTATGGATAGACCAGGTGAGTCAACAATTGAAAAAAAACTCTTGTGGGCAGATATATGTGCTTAGAAAAGATGGGAGCCAGGAATACTGAAATCCACTTGCAGACCTGTATTGTATTGCGTTGCACATATGACAATGTGCCTACTTAACTCTGCTCTCACAACTTCTTCCCTACAGTCTGGCGAGATCGAGATTCTGAATCACAAGACCAGTGAAAGGTGTATTCTCAAGTTTGTTCCTTATAGCTACTTCTCAAGAGATGTGGCCAGAAAGGTAAGAGGCCGTGTGCACTCTGATGGTTCCAGTGGCTGTGAAGGGGAAAGGGCTGGTCACTGCTTGGTGGCAAGAGGGGTCTCAGACATAATCTGTAGGGGCCGCATGTATAGCAGTAACCTTCCCAGTAGGGCCTTTGCAAAGTGTCCTTCGAAAGCATCGCCATTGCTGGGAGGCTGCTTGCATTGTTTGGCACTCGGAAAAGCCAGTCCGTTAGACAGAGCAGCACTTGAATCCGAGGGGGACCCCCTTCAGCTTCTGGGTTAGCCCGGGGAAAGCTGAAGCATGGTCTTTCTAGGGTTTATCAGTAATCTTGCTGGAAAGAGTATCGTGAGAACTGTTCTCAATGACCGACGTAACTATCTCCTGTTCCAGGTCACTGGAGAGGTACTAGATTCCTTGGGGAAAGTGCACTTTGTGCTACTAGGCACTTGGGATGAGAAGATGGACTGTTTCAGGGTGACAGCAACTAGCATGGAGAATGGTAGTGAAAGCCGGCAGAGAACACACGAAGCAGAGGACAGTAGGGTCTTGCTGTGGAAGAGGAACCCACTCCCGTGAGTAAGGAAGGTCGCTTGGCTCCCCCAAGGGGGTTGCTGATGCTGCCCTTTGGAGAAATGCTTTCACAGTCACAAAAGCCACAAACGGACTTTATTTTTAAATGACAAGTAAGATTCTCAGGGTGTGAATCTCTGTGCTTCTGTGGTGTTGTCATAGGGTATGGACAGCCATCGATAGTTCTGAGTCCAGGACCCAGAGGGCCGTGCATGATCCCCCATCCCCCCTGATGACTGCCATTAAAGCAAAGTTGTGCCGCACTCCTGTTCTAGAATTTGAACTGGGCTGCAAGTCAGAGCCTGGCTGCTGTCTGATTTCTCTCCTCCCTCTCCTTATTCAGGAAGAATGCCGAGAACATGTACTATTTCTCAGAGCTGGCTTTGACGCTTAATGCTCTGGAAAGTGGTACTGCTCCCACGGACAGCAGGCTTCGGCCTGACCAGCGACTCATGGAGAATGGACGCTGGGATGAGGCCAATGCAGAGAAGCAGCGCCTTGAGGAGAAGCAGCGCATCTCCCGCAAAAGACGTGAAGCCGAGGCCATGAAGGCCACAGAGGAAGGTAAGAGTGATTCTCATCATCCCTGAAGGAACGTAGCAGCCTGCAAAGGTGCCATGCTGCTCGATCCATAGTCTGGCTAGTCCAGTATTGTCATGTTCCAGGGGATGGCTTGAACTAGAGGGCCTTCTGCGGGCAAAGCACACTGTCCGTAGCTATTCTCCTGTGCAAGGAGAGCACCTGGGACCACATGGGTAAGGAGAGAGACCAGCCGAACGCCTTGTTAATGAAAACCCTCATTTGTGCTCGTCCCCTCCACTGTCTTCTGTTTGCAGGAACTCCTTATGACCTTTATAAGGCACTGTGGTTTGAGCGGAAGAAAGACCCAGATACCAAGGAGGTGGCCCACGTCTACAAGGGGGGCTACTGGGAGAGCAAAGAGAAACAGGACTGGAGTATGTGCCCTGATATCTTCTGAGCTGGAAGCAGCTGGACTATTGAGAAGAGGAGGAGGAAGAATGGGTAGCAGAAGAAAGACGGAAGGGAGCATCTGATCATGTGACTTCCTGCCTAGTGCTTTCCTCACCAAATCTGTCTGTCTTAACCAATCACTTGTTTTGAATCAATCACCCAAAGCAGAATCCAGCAGTGGTGATTGGCTGGGTTGCCTTAGCTGATTGAAGCTGGTGTCTGGATCCCTAGGTGGCTGGGGACATGTCTGAGTCGAGGACTGCACCCTCCGCGTCCCCATTGCTGTGCTCACAGCCCTGCACATTTGGGGAGGAGGAAGAGGGGAACAACATGGTGCTGTATACAGTTTGCCTCCCTTTCCTACCTTCAGATAGGGACAGTTCAGTAGCATGTAGGCAAGACCATGAATGTGTGCTCCAAGGCATTGTGGGCGGCGTGGTGGGAGGGAGATGGAAGGACGTCCTGCAGTTCTGCCGTAAGGGTTGTTCTGGTTCTTCCACCCACCTGTCAGACAGCCTGTCCTTAGGCACGGTGTCAAAAGTGAGTGAGGCCTCTGAAGCACTGGGTGTCTTTCCAGGAGCAGTCATCTGTCAGTCCACTCTGGGAGCGAAGCAGCTACTGGTGTCCTAGAATTGGCATGGGGGGAAGAGGCTAGCTCTGGTCCCAGCGGCACCAGTTCCTTTGGGGCTCATTCAGATGTCCGCGCAGTGGCAGGAAACTAAACTGTTCTCTCTCCTTCTTGACCCCACACCACTTGAGACCCCAGTATATTCCCCACGTGCACTCTGCTGGGACACTACGATACAAGATTTCCTCTGCCTAAAGCCCCTGGCAACCTCTAGCTTAATGCACACCTGTTTATATGTATATTATATATATGTAGAGAAAAAGAGAGATCTAATTTTTGTTTTGATCCCCCCGCCCCATTCCTCTCCCATCCTGCGGACCCCATTTTGTAATATGTGCCCTTCTTGGTCTCCTTCCACTGCCCCCATACCAAGGGAGATGTTCTGCAGAAAGAGTGATAGTGGACAATTACGTGTCTTGCCTCTTCTTTTAAAAAATGCCATCTGATGTGGAAGCTGAAGCTTGGTAGCATCAATCGTAAAGTTGTGCAGGCATAAACTAGATGTCCCGCAACACTGTTGAAAAAATATGAACATTGTGGGAATTCCCAGCTGGTCTTAGACAACTCTGGTCACATCTGCCAAAGCTGGATCCTAAGGTTGAAAGGGTGCTGCCACCATGTGTAGAGATGGATAAGGGCACAGCGGCTGCCCCAGCCAGGCTTATACGTGGAGGGGAATGTGAACGGCCAGGCAGCCCCGCCCTTGGCTAAGGATCAGCAATGAGGTGCCTTCCTCCTGTGTGTTTCTCCTTTTTGTTTTCTTTCTGTCTGTTGACTTTTGAACTTTAGCCACTGAAAAGGGGATGGTGGTTCTGCCCATGGCTGCTTGCCGGTGACCGGGAGAAATGAGGCCATGAGCCCTGCTTTCCCAGCAGCAAAGTGCAGTGTTGCTGACTGGGGAAGAAGGGGCTTTGGATGGGGTCTCTGCATTATTTGCTGCTTGGATTAAAGTCTGTTCTTTGCAGCTGGTGAAGGCTGATACTCCCTTGGATGGGTTAATGGCAGGCTTTAAACAGAGAGAATCCCTGCAGTTCTATTTTTGGGGTTTTTTTGCCTTACTGTCTTTTTTCCAAGAAAACTAAATTAAATAATGAAACCTGAAATATCCAGGTTGGGGTTTTGTGTGTGTGTGTCTCCCCTGCTTAATGTTCAGGCTTAAAAGGGCTTAACGGTATATCCTCCTCCTGCTGGGTGGCACGTAGAAGATTGTGCTCCGTGCAGCTTACATCTTTGCTCTCTTTCTCTTGCAATGCCTTTGACTTTGCTGGCTGTGGCAGATAGAAGCTGTGTAAGCTTACCAGCCTTTGTGGACACTGCTAATCCTGTGTGTCGCTCTGGGAAGGCTTGAAACGGGCTGGCCTTGGGAGTCTGCTGGGCGCTGTCTGGAATTCACATGGCTTACCAGAGGAGTGCACTGGAGGGGGATCATCGTCGGATCTAGCCAACAATCTGATCCAGGATACTTTCAGTTCCACTGGTCTGTGTCGGTAGCTGCTGCTATTGGGGAAAATACTTGCAGTTACCAGCTGTTAGACCAGAGAACTCTAAATCAGGGTATAGTACTGTATTTAACTGAGCATGCCTGGGAACATTTATTTGGAGCATTTATTTGCATCACGGCCTGGTTCTTTCGTAGGATCAGATGGTGACTGCTGCCTACAACCTTCTAGTGCCTGATGGCTCATCAGGTAAGCTGAGCCAGGTCTAGGACTGGCAGGGTGAACCACAAAAAACATCTTTAGGGCTAAACGAGAGTCAGTTCCAGTGGGGTGGTGAACCAAGGCTTTTGTCAGAATCCTGGTTAAATCAGTTCTCAACACCACTCACTTCGAAGAAAGTTTAGTTTATTGAGACATTGAGAGATACCATACTGGACATGAGCTTTGTTAAGTCTGGAGGTGAAAGCACAAAGATTGCAGATATATTGTGTTCAATCAAAGGCACTAAAGATCAGGACCCAATCACCCCACAGTATTTGCCCGCCAGAAATAACAGTCAACTGCCCCCCCCCACTAAGCACGTACCCCTCTACAGAAATAAGGCAGAACAACAGGTCTCTGCAACACAGTATCTGGCACATCAAAGCATTTAGGAAAGTGAAAGCATTTTGGTCTTCACGCCCCTCTCCCCCTCCTCCTTCCTCTGTCAGGCAAGCTATAAAATGCATAGTGAGCCTGACATACTGATGCCCTCCCCCCCCCTCCCCCAAGACCTCTCACCCCTTTGTGAGGGTATTTGTTACGGAATGCACGGGTTCAAGAGGGGGCTTTAACATGTTCACATTTCACCCACTCGTTATGCAATTCATCAAAGTCCTTCCATTTAATTAAATAGTACAGCTGGTTCTGTCTCAACTTAGAATCAAGGATCTCTTCCACTTCATGGTGAAGTTCACCATCTATCATTAGAGGAGGTGCAGCAGCTGGACGAGGTCTCCACTTGTTTGGGCCCGGATCCCTTTTCAGTAAACTGAAATGAAATACAGTATGAATATGCCTCAGAGTCTTGGGTAAATCAAGTACCACTTTGTTCAAGACTCTCAACACTTTGAATGGGCCAATATACTCCCACCCCAATTTCCTCCCCGGCGGGAGCCCCTTCAGATTTTTTTGTGGAGAGGTACACTGAGTCCCCAGGTTGCAACCCCCATTCAGGAGCTCTCTCTTTATCAGCTTGCTTTTTGTAATCCTCTTTCGCCTTTCTCAGAGTCTCTTGGATCGTGGACCATCGTTCCTTTAAGTCCCCCCACCACGATTGCAAATCTCCCTGTTTGGGCTCCTGAGTAGTCACCGTGGGGAGGGGGCCCCTTCATACCCGTGCACAGCTTTAAAGTGGGAGAGGCCAGTGGCACTGTGCACTGAGTTATTATAACTGTATTCCACATAAGGGAGGAGGTCGACCCAGTTGTCCTGCTGGTAATTGGTGAAGCACCGAAGGAATTCCTCTACCACTTGATTCACCCTCTTGGTTTGCCCGTCCGTCTCTGGGTGATGGGAGCTGCTGAGACCTTGTTCTATCCCCAATACCTGCAGCAGTTCCTTCCAGAACTTAGCGATGAACTGCGACCCCCGGTCTGAAATGATCTTGCAGGGGAGGGAATGCAGCCTCATAATGTGGTGCGTGAAGAGCTTGGCTAGTGACTTGGCCAAGGGCAGTTGTTTGCAAGGAATAAAATGTGCCTGCTTGGAAAACATGTTGACCACCACCCAAATCACTGTTTTATCTTTATTGGGTGGTAAGTCTGTTATAAAGTCCATAGAAATCACTGCCCATGGTCTCTCTGGCATTTCATGGGGTTGTAAGGTCCCAGGGGCTTTCCTGGCCTCTGTTTCCCCATTAGGCAGGGCTGGCAGGAACCCACGTATTAGGAGATATTTACCCTCATACGCGGCCACCAGAATTGCCCTTGAAGGAGGTGCAGGGTTTTCAGGTATCTATAATGCCCCACCAGTTTATTTTTCTGCCCCAAAGTCAGGATTTCCCCCCTCAACGCTTTAGGCACGAACAGCCTCCCACCTCTGTACCAACAGCCATCCCCCCTCTGCTCCACTGAACTGTCAGTTTGAATGTCCTCCATGTCCTCCTCTGTTTTAAATTTGCAAATCCAGGGTTCAGCATCAACAGGGGGTCTCTGCTTTCACTTGGCTGCAAGTTACCACCACCCCGCCCAACTGGGCGGGTGTCAACATTGAGTCTATGACTTCTTCCCTCTGGCTGTCATATTGTGGGAGGTGGGATAGTGCATCAGCCAGAGAGTTTGACTTCCCGGGGAGGTGCTGGAGGGTAAACTGAAATTTAGAGAAGAACTCTGCCCAGCAGAGCTGCTTGGCATTCAGGTGCCTGGGTATGCATAATGCTTCCAGATTTTTGTGGTTTGTCCACACTTCAAATGGCACCCTCGCCCCCTCCAGTCAGTGCCTCCAGGTCATAAGGGCCAGTTTGATGGCAGCCGCCTCCTTATCCCAAACAGCCCAGTTACGCTCCGTGGGGGAGAACTTCTTAGACACATATGCCAGGGGGTGGAGCTTTCCATCCTCCCCTTGTTGCAGGATTCCCCCATAGCCACATCAGAAGCGTCCACTTGGATCACAAAAGGCTTATTTTCGTCAGGATGGTGTAAAATGGGCTAGAGGTAAACAGCTCCTTGAGCCTTTCAGATGCCTGCTGGCACTCCGTTACTTGGCTTGCTACTGTCAAGACCCTTCCCCTTTGTTTTTAACAAGTCAGTAAGGAGCAAAACCACCTGGGTGACGCTTGGGATGAATTTGTGGTAGAAATTGATGAACTCAGGTAATGGATCTGGCGCCGTTTTCGAGGAGCCTCCCACCCCACCATGTCCTGCACTTTATGGGGATCCATGCCCAGTCCCTTCCCCGAAATCTGATATTCCAGGAAATCCAATTCATCCTTATGAAACTCATACTTGGAGAGCTTGACAAAGAGACAGTGCTTGTACAGTGTTTGGAGCACCTCCCTGACCAACTTTACATGCAAGTCTTTATCATTCGAACAGAGCAAGATATCATCTAGATAAACTAGCACCCCCTTGAATAAATGCTTGTGCAACACTTCATTGATTAAGTTCATAAAAACCCTGGGGGCTCCCGCTCACCCAAATGGCATCACCAGGTATTCAAACTACCCCAATGCGGTATTGAAAGCTGTTTTGTATTCATCCCACTCCCGAATGCCCACTCTGTAGTAAGCATCTCGCAAGTCAAGTTTGGTGAAAATGCGTTCCTGGGAAGCTTCCACCAGGAGGTCTTTGATGAGCGGGAGGGGGTAGGCATTGGACATAGACACTGTGTTTAATCCCCGGTTGTCTGTGCACAGTCGCAGTCCACTGACCTTCTTTTGGAAGAGGAAGGGGTCTGCAAAGGGGAAGAGGCCGGGCGGATGAAACCCTGAGCAAGGTTTTTATCTATAAACCTACGTAGCTCCTCTTTCTCAGCTGGGCTCATTGCATACATCTTCCCTTTGGACATTTTGTGCCCTGGCAATGGGGGGAAGTGCATCTGCCTCCTCCTCTTTGAACACTCTAGCCAAGTCTTTGTACTCAGGAGGAATGAGATCGACCTCTCCCTGCACCAAGCAAACATGTTCCGGAATGGGAGCTGGCGCCTTCCCCCCACTTGGGATTCCACCCATGAGCTTTGCTTGGGGGGTCTGGGAAGTGTAGGGCCCCTCCACTCCACTGAATGTATGGGTCATGGATCTCGGAGCCAGGGGTTGCCTAGCACCATTGAGAATTTTGCAGCAGGGTTAATAATGAATGGGCGCTCCCAATGGGGCCCCATCACCATGGGCATAGTTTGATACTTGCACACCTCCTTCATTGAGGACCCATCCATCTTGGTGAAAATTATAAGTTCTGGCAATACTTGGACGGATACCCCTAGCCTGGTGACTCATGCTGGGCTGATTAAGTCCCGGGCACACCCAGAGTCGATCAGGGCTCTCACCTGTATCTGGGTGCCCTGCTCAGGGTTTATTACAGTCACAGTCACATAGAACAAAGGGTCAGGATCTCAGAGCCAGGTGCGTGGGACTTTTGGACCTGCTGGGTTGTGCCCTTCACAGCAGGTCCCAATCTTTTCCTGCCGGTGCATTGGGGGTGGTACATCCACAAAAGGTTGGAGTGGTTCTCCACCTCACAGGCCACCTGTATCCACCCGTTCAGGGTTACGGTTGCCCTGGGCCAGGGCCCGATCCAGAATTGAGTGGTCCAGCCCAGCCTGGTAAACTCGATGAGGACTTCTTCAGGCCACCCCTGGAGCTTTGCAACGTGTGTTTTGACCTCATCAGAGTACTCCCGCACCGAGCGCCCACCCTGGCATAGGCTCCTCAGGCGAGTGCATGCTCTCTCTAGCTCCAGGGGGTCTTCGTATTGGCGTCGGGGTGCCCACATGAAGGCATTCACATCTCGGAGTTCTGGGCCCCGGGCATTGTGGAGACCCATGAACCAGTCAGCCGCCTGATCCCGGAGGCGCAACCTGATGATTTCATTTGTATGTCCAAATGCTTAGCTGTGTGTTGGCTGATGCCACCATGGTTTGGGCTGTGTTCTCCCCACTCCCCTGCCTTCCCTCTGCTGCCCCCCCCTCCTGGAATGTGCTCCAGGTTTCTGCTCACCCATGCCGCTTTTCCTGCTGAGAGCCGGGGCCGTTTTCTTTTGAGCGCGCTTGCTTGCT